TATCGCATCCTTCTGTTGGATGTGTTGTTGGCAACGGTTGCTAGGGAGAGCTGGGGTCGGTTCCAGACATACTGATGCTTGCTCTAATAATACTTTGCTCTGCATAGCTCAGATGCAGACACCTCTTGGCTAAACAGGGCATGCACATTTCAACAGAGGAGGGCTTGAACTCGTACTACCCAGCCATATCTTGGCAGAGGAGCCCTCCTGGAGCCCAAGTGGGAGGCCTGGGGTGGTGACAGAGCAGCGGGGGGCGGAGGGAGCTCAGGCCTCCAATTCCTCTCATTCCAAAGGTCCCATAAAAAGAGGCACAGTCATTCTCCCCTGCCTCGTGAAGCTGGAGCCTCCCCCTCCCACCCCAACCCCATCATCATATTGCAATTCCCTGTGAGGATGGAGGCCGAGTTTTGGTGGCCTCTGTAACCCGGGGGTCCCAGGCAACCCACATTCTCCTGGAGGTCAGAGGATATCAGTGTGCACACTCCAGTGGGTGAGGGACCCTGCAAACGCAAGGCCGGGAGCTGGGTGGGAGGGGGCAGAGTGGTACATGCGAGGCAGTGAAGCAGATCACGTCCTCGGCCTCACCGGGTGGCCTCGCCTCTGGCATACCCCAGCCACATAGGTTCAGAGTGAGGTCCTTTTCCTAAAACATGTGATAGCTGCTCTGACAAATGTCCGAGGCCAAGAACAAAGGAAAGGACATGGGGAGACAAGCCGAGGACAGAGGGGAACAGGGCCGTTGGTGAGGAGAGGTGGCTCTGGGCTCCGGCCTGGGAAGTGTGGCGTGGCTCCAGGAGGAATCCCCTGGAGCGGTGGCGAGGGGTGTGAGAAAGGGCCCCCTGGGACAGCCTGGAACAGCTTCCTCGCTGTCCAGACGGGAACCTGAGGCCCAGTGCGGTGAAGGCACCGTCCCAGCTGCCATGTCTTCTGCTTTCTGGTGTCCACTCACTAGTTCAGGCTCCGTGTCCCCCACATTACTCAGCAAAGAGTCCAGTACCTGGTGCAGACTTTTTGACTGGCTCACAGATGACAGGCAGGACCAGCTGTTTCCTAAGTGACCATGGTGGCCCAATCAGGGCATCTCTGGAGTATCTTCCTAACAAGTGGTGCTTACCCAGCTACACAGCAGAATCCCTGGGCAGGGGGAGGGGGGTGGCACAGAGTTCTTTCGGAAGGATGGCCATTCTGTCCCCGGAGAACCAAATGTGACTGGTCTGGGGCAGGACCCCTGCACCGGTGTTTTAAAAGCTCCTCTCTACGGGATTCTAATGGACGCCTAGGCTGAGAACCACTGACCTACAGAAAACCTGGTGGCTGAAACTCAGAGTTCCCAGGCTGGATTCTCCACACCCGACAATCACACCAATAGAAGACAGTGCCTCAGTTGGCCCAACTGTGAAGCTGACCCGTCTCCCACAGACCATCAGTCACCCAATACAATGCCTCGTGACTGCAAAGTGTAAGGTCCCCGGGCCAATAGGACCAGCATCACCTTCGACCTAGGTAGACCCGAAGAGCTCAGGGTGTGCTCGCAGCTACCAAACCAGGACCTGCATTTAAGTGAAATACCACAATTGTGATTCGAAAGCACAATCAAGTCTGAGAAGCACTGACCTATCGCATAACAGACGTTGGAGAAATATCTGTTTACTAAGTAGAAGTTTTATGTTTACAAGAAACATCAAAACCGAAAGACCACTTTTGAGGTCTGGGGTGGGTGATGGGTCCCACTGAGAGCCTAGGGTCTCTGGCACTGTCACGGCCTATGGAGGCGGTGTTCCGGGGCTCCTTGAGATGACGATGCTGAGTCTGGCTGGGAAGGGTGGAAGGTCATTGACCTCCCTTTGGCCCCACTTGCCACCCTGTAGGGTCTGCACCCCAGTCCTCCTAGGGGCAGCTCTCACGCCTCTGCCAAAGGGTCCACTACAGCAGAGCCCGCCCTTCTCCTGCTATGCTGCTGGCCCCCACAGCCGAAACCTGGGCAGCGAAAGCAGTCTGCCCAGGAGGGCACGGTCCAAAGCCCGTGCCGAGAGCTGTGTTTACAGGGCACGTCACACCCTTGCCCCACTGCAGCCAGCATCCCAGGCTGGGGCTCTGACATCAAGGCAGCAGCCTCTCTGGCCACACGAGGGGCATCTCTGAGGCCACTGAATGGCAGTGGGCCTGGGGAGGATGGAGCTAAGTACAAACTGCAGAGGGAGAAAAGGGAGGGAAGAGCCCTGGGGTGGGCCCGGCCCAGGCCAGGAGAGGGATACAAACCAGGTCTGCTAGAAGATGAAGGCAAGTAAGAAAAAAAGCCACCCCTGTGGGCATTGAGAAGGCAAGTGGGGTTTGATGAGCCACATCCGCTTCCCTCTTTTCTTGTACCTTGTGAGCCTGGGGTGGTGGATGGCCGTGAATCATACTGCCTGGGAAGCTGACTTCCATCTGCCGCCTCCTCGGGACCAGAGGGAAGCAGCAGGTCCCGAGGACGCCCAATCAGACCCACGGGGTTGGCTTCCTCTGGACCTCGTGTCCAGAGAATTGAGAGAATTGACTCCCTCCCCATCAGGAGCACATCCAGCCTCCCCACGGAGCCTTCAAGGGGCTCTCTCCTCAGCCTATACGAAAGCCGGGGCTGCAGGTGGTGGAGAGGGGGTGCGTGGGGCCCGCTGGTGAGTTCTAGATTTCTAAATACCTGACCCACTAATATTCCACCCAGGCAAATGGCAGATGTGGGACCGACAGCTGTCCTCTGCCCCAGAGACAAGGTGGCATCGGAGGGCCGGGTCTTTTGGGCTAGCTCCCAAAGCACAAGCCGTAGGTGTCACTGAGCCAGGCTGTTGGGGGGTGAGTTTCTGAGGACAAGGGGCATCCAGGACCATCTTCTGCAGCGGCAGCACTCAGAGAAAGTGAGGGAGGAGGGGGGCCCCATGGGAGCCCCTCGTGCCCGACCTCCAGGCCCCTGACTCATCTCTGGCAGCGGGAACCCATGAGGGACACTAATGAGAGCCCTGCAGCCCAGTCCAGCCCCTCCCGAGGCCCAGCTCCAGCGGACAACTACTCGTCCAGGTCAAGAAGCCCCATCTCCCGGCGTTCAGGTTAGTGCTCTTGCCCCGCGCTCCTGTTTGCCAGACTGTGTCTCTTGGCAAAGCTATTTCCATGAGACATTATTAGCTGAGGACACAAAGAGGCCTCGTTGAGTCCAGCGGGGCCACACACGTTCCCTTCCTGCTGTGCTCAGCCAGCCCGCCCTGCGGCCAATGGACAGGCGGGTATGCCACGGACCCCTCTGTGGCTGAGCATGTCCCAGGACGGACGCCCCTCCAGACGCTGTGGGCAAGGCTGCTCCGACCATAGATCGTTGGATGAAATGCCTGACCTGGGCAGGAACCTGGGCGGACCCATGGCCAGCGCCCTTCCCAGCTGGGTGCACTTGCTCCTACACCCTGTCTGTCCCTCCGCCACCGGCTCTGGTGACATTGCTTGGGGTTGGCAGCCATTGTCTACAAGTCTGGCCCTTCTCTGAAAAAGAACAAGAGCCAAAGCTGAAGGCCGATCCCTCCCTGACTCCCCATGCCCGGCAGGACGTGGCAGACAGGCCGCTCCCTGCTGCCTCTGCCCTCCACACACTCCCAGGACATTCCGGCCCATGAGGAACATGCCCGATGTGCAAATCCCTCAGGTAATGCGGGAATTCATCACCAGGGGAGCGTGGGCGATCCAGGAATGGGAACCTGATCGGGGCCTGGAGCTGGAAAGAAATAGCCAGGGCTGGCCAGCAAGGTCTCAGGTTGCAATGAGCAGACTCCCCAGGAAGAGGGGAGGACAGCAGCGAAGAGCCCTATGGGCAGCACACAGAGGGGGCTCCCTCCTCCCCGTGACGGGGGAGGAGACAGCAGACGTCAAATCAGGTGGTTGAGCCCAGGGTGACCGCGTGCCTGGGTGAGCGCCTGGTGCCTGGGTATAATCATGGAGACAGCCCCTGCACCTCTCGGAAGTGCTGTGGTTTGGGTGACCCATCACACTGTTGTGCTTGTTCAGACAGACCTGCAGGTGGTCCCCTCCAGCCCTGCAACTCTGCTGTCTGACCTCCCAGCCTCCTGTCCTAAGCGACATGCACTGGAAACCAATTCACATCCCAACTAGTCCCAGGTACAAAGTCAGGGTCGAGACAACTTTCCCCCGCCGAGGGTCCCCCAGCGTGGTGGCCATGCCATGCCACCTGCTGCCTCTCCCTGATGCCGCCAGTTCACTTGCTAGGACCTGAGACAGAAGAGTGGGTACTGGACCCGAGCTCATGAGATGCACCAGGGCCTGCCTGCCAGCCTCAGCCTAGTGCCCACACCGGAACCTACGACACATCAGCCGATGCTGATGAAACCAGCACTGCACGCCAGCACCGTGGAGGAAGAAATGGAGGGGAATTGGGACTGAGCTCTCTGGAGGGATTCTGAGTGAGAAGGCACCAAGGAATGAGACAGTCTCTGATCTCGAGGCTTTCCCTCTGCCTCAAAAGTGGTCCCGTGAAGCTTAGTGTATCGGCAGCCAGATCAAACGCTTTCTGCTCACAGCCCTCTAAGCACCAGTTACACCACCTCCGGGGGCTGGGGGGCAGGGGTGGTGGTCCAGGGCAGGAAGAAGAGGGGGCAGAGAAGTCCACAGCACGCTCGCGTCTGCTGGGACGTGGAGAGGTCAAACATAGAGACTGGTTAAGACCAAGCGTCAGCTCTCTTATCGTGGACATAGAAAGAGGGAAGGGCTGGTTAAACATGAAACACCTATAAAATTATACCGGTCCATCGTAACCACGGAGCACCAACGCAAACACACGCCTATCTGACACTCGCCCCTTGCCCCTCGAGTGACTCTTTATTTTCTATAATTAATCAAGCTGGGGTGGAACTTGGGGAAAGTTCACCCATGGTCAGAATCCACAGCCTTCTCTCTAGTAACAACCCGCAGCGGGGCGCGGGGGGGGGGTCTGGGGAGGGGAGGCACGGCAGGTGGTGTCTGCCTACCTGAAGCATGTTGAGAAGCAGGCTCCGGAACTTGGTCCCCTCCACCATGAAGAGTGCCATCTTGTCACACAGCTTGGCGGCTGTGAAGGCGAAGCTGCGGTCAGACACAGCCTTCTGGTAGATGGTCCGGACAATCTCCCCCAGCATCTCCTCAGAGTTGGTCGAGTTCTGGGCCTCCTCCATGAAGGTGGTGAGCTTGGTGTCCACGTCACTGCTGTTGTTCCGCATGCTGTTCAGGATCTCAATCAACTTGTCCATCTTGTTCTGCTGAGGGTTGGTGGTCTCCACGGCCACTTCGTCCTGGGGGGCATGGGAGACAGACCGAGGTGCACCTGAGTGGAGCTGAGGTTACTGCGGGGGACTGGGGACCAGTGGAGGGAGGGCTGCTGCCCCCAGAACGGATCTAATCCTACCTTCTTGAATCTGGGGTCTGGCACCTCTGGGAATGCTGACCTCCACCAGGGACCCTCGAGCCCCAGGGTCCTCTGCTGACCTTTCTCTTGGCTCCCGTAGCATCTGGGGCTGATCCTTCTTGCAAGCTCTAGCACTTACCCAGGATTCATATATACTGGCTGTGTTTGTCTACTTACCCATAAAATGCCTCAAGCTAGAAATTATTTAATGGGGTTTGTACAAGATGAAATAAGATAACAAATGAAATACTGAGTCTAAGGGAAAATGAGGGCAGGAAGGAGGGAAGTATCCAGAATGCCCGCTACCTTGGTTAAAGGTGTCCATGGAACGGCTAAATCTTATCTTCCAGACTCCTGGTTCCTACAGCCCAAGGACAATTGTGGCCCTGGTTTTGTGCCCTATGGAGACCCTGCTGGACTTCTAGAACAAATGTTATCCACCAAGAAATTCTGCAACATGCCACTAAATCGACTGCCACTCCCAGGAAGGAAATTTCAAACAACAAACTCAACACCTTTAAGAAGTTTCAAGGCAAGTGAGTCAGACCCAGGCTGGGGAAGGAAGAAAATGGTATCTGACGGTCTCAAAAGTATCTATTCAAATGCCACAGATTGATGGCCAAGAATGTAATGGCCCTACCTGTTGGCATATAAGATGAGGGCAGAAGGGCAGGGTCAGGGATACAAAGGGAGGTCCCATGCTTGCCCCTCTGTTCTCAACACGGAGAGCTCTAGGTTGGGAGGCAGAGACCAGGGTGCTAGAACCTGCTTTCTGCTTCTAGTCATAGGGCTGTGGGCAGTGGTTTCACTCTCTGGGCCTCAGTTTACTCACTGGTGAGATGAGGAGATTGGTGAGATGAGGAGATTGGTGGCAGGGCTCAGCTTTTCCTGAGCCCTGCCACCACCTACACCAATGTCCTCCTGGCCTAGGAATCTGGGGGGGCTCCCCGAAGGAGAGTCCCTGAAACCCATGTATGGGTTCTATCCCCTCCTTGCCCATCTATCTGGGTTACCATTGTGGGGGCATCTTCCAAACATATTCCATCTATCTGAGCCCCAGGGCAGGAGAGTGGTCTGCATATAAAATAACCACCACTCAGGAAGCCTTTCCACATGTCATGGCATTGAATCTTCATGGTTTGTCTGTAAGGTGAGTACAGATGAGCCACCTGGGGCTCAGAAAGGTTAGGTGACTTGCCCAAGGTCACCTAGCCAGTCAAAGGCAGAATGAGCACCAGCTGGTTTGCTGGACTCCAAAGCCTGTGCTGTTTCCCCTCCATGACTCTACAGCTACATGTAGTAGAGATGGAGGGAATGTAATTAATAACCTCCCTTCCCTGGCCAGGCTGTGGGAATAGGTCTTGGAAGGTCTTCAGGAGAACAGGACATACTGGCCACCAGTTGGGAATGGCTACACCTTTGAAAAGTAAGGAAATGAGCGAAGCTCTCCTCCTGGACCTCACAGCTGCTTGCCCCACAGGGAGCAGTGTGGTGGGAGCTCAGGGCCATGAAGATGCCGGGAGCAGCATCTCAGCTTCAAGCCCTGGCTGGGGGAGAGGCCTGACCTGCCTTCTCCTGCCTGAGTGTGGACTGGGCCTGGCTTCTCGGGCAAAAGGTAGAGGAGGGCAGGCAGTTGAGAGGGGCCCGGGGAGATGCCCAGAGCTTCGAGCTCTGCAGAAGCCCCAGAAGGAGGACTCTGGGGAGGTCTGGGGACAAATCGGCCTTTCTCGGGAATGGTTCCTCAGGGTAAGAGAATGGATTTGATGCTGCCAGTGACAGAGCCTAATCCCTTGGCTAGAGGCACAGGGACATATCCTCCAGAATCAGCGAGCCAGGCCAACTCTGGAAGCCAGGGCCAGGGGTAGAGTGAAGAAAGAGAGGCTCAGGGCAGGGGTAGGCAACATTTAAGAAGGTCCCCACTCTCAGGGCTGCACCAGTGCAGGGCGGCACCTGCGGGATGCCAGGGGTGAAGGCTTCCTCCAGTATTGTCCCTTAGGCCCTTCCTTGGCTGCAGACTGATGAAGGAGGAGAACCACACAAAGCTGAGGTCTGCTGCACTCTTCCTGACTCACCTTTGCCCTCTCCACCCAGGCGGGGACCGCAGCAGGCTGGCACTTAACCTGGGGGAGAAGCATTGGTCCACCTTGTACCAACTCTGAGGTTCCCCCAAATGCCCCGTTTGCACTACCAGGGCAGTGAGTGTCTGACCGCACAGAAGGCTGGAGAGAGAGCCAGGCCTTCCCCGCACCCGTCCCATCCTCCTCTGGCATATGCACCTGCCTCCCTACTTCCTTCTCAGGCTGGGGCTGGTGCCCACCTGGGCCTCCCGTGGGATCTAGAAAGCCATGGGAGGTGCTCGAGGGGTTCACGCAGAGCTGGCCTGGGCCTGCCGCCGAGTGGCCGAGTGTCCCTCCGGCAGTGATGGGCCACCTCAAACCCGAGCCCACCCACCGAAGTGCCTACCTCGTGCCGTCCTCCCTGGTGCAAGAGAACAACAAAAATTCAATTACCGGTACCTTTTCTTTCAGCCTTCGCCGCAGCCTGTCTTTGGAAGACTGGAGCAGGGTAATTTTGGGCCGCTCCCCGATGCGCTCGGGAATAATACTGTCTTTACGCTTTGTCTCAGCCTCCGGACCCCCTGGCTGCTGCGGGGGCAGCCTTTCAGGAGCCCCTGAGGTGGGGGCATCAGGGCTGCGGGGGGGCTCAAGGCCGCCGTGCCCGGTGTCCCCCAGGGCGTCCTCAAGTTTGGGGCTCTCCATGGGCACGGTCTCTTTGGCATTGCGGTGGGCGCCTGCCTCCCCCTTGTCGCCCGGTGGGTGCTTCATGTTGCTATGGTGCCAGCGCCGGTTCTGGCTGTAGCCGTGATGGGTGGGCCTTCCTGAGGAGTGGGGTACCGAGCCCCCCTGGTAGGATTTCTGGTGGTCCCTGTTGTGTTTGGCACTGCCCGGCTGGTGGTCACTGTGCTGCTGGGGCTTGTTCCCTCCTGGAGGTCTCTGCTGCCGTCTGCAAACCAAAGGAGAGAGACAGGGTCACTGGGAGGACTGCTCAGGGTCCCCGGGCGAAGCGCTAGGAGAGCGGTTCACTGAGTCAGTCGTTCATCCGTTCATTCCTTCAGCTCCCTTACTGAGCACCTCCTCTGTGCCAGGCTCTGTAGGGCCTGCAGATACAGCAGGTCCCTGGGATTACAGAGGGCTTCAAATGGGTCCTTGCGTTAAAGTATTATTTTATTCCCTTATTGGAACACACGTCAGCACATGTGTGGGGAGCAGAGTTAAAACGAGCCGTAGAGGAGTAGATCCTTCTGACTTGGGCCACAGCCACCCTGCAGCTACTCTGGAAGCAATGGTTACCCTTGTGGGGGCATCTTCCAAACATATTCCAGGCACATGTTCCAGCAAAGATGTACACTCAGACCTGCTTCTGGTAACAAATATCCTATTAATGAATTTTCACCATAATGGCTCTTGTAAAGTTCTATCATTTGTTAAGCAATCATTTTTGGGGGTATATTGACATTTCCACCCCCTAAGCCCACTGACAAAATACGCAAGGAGAGGTTGTTATGGGCCGAATTTTGCGTCCCCATCCCCTTCAATTCATATGTTGAAGCCCCAATCCCTACGACCTCAGAATGTGACTGGATTTGAAGATAGGGTCTTTAAAGAGGGGATTAAATTAATCCCTTAGGCCACGACGGTGGGCACCAATCCAATCTGACTGGTGGCATCCTTACAACAAGAGGAAATGTAGACACAGACACCAGGGTTGCAGGCATACAGAAGAAAGACCATGCGAGGATGTGGCAAGAAGACAGCCATCTACAAGGGAGAGACGCCTCGGAAGAAACTAATCCTGCAGCTACCTTGACTTTGGACTTTCAGCTCTAGAATTCTCAGAAACAAAATTTCCGTTGTTTAGCCAACCCTGTCATCGGTTATTTTGTTACGGGAGTCCGAGCCAACTCATACAAAAGTGACACTTGACTCACTGATCTACTGGACACACTATTTGCTAAGGTAGATAATATCACGTGGAACAAAACTGAGGTGTGCACATGGGATGAACCCCAAACGTTTTGATGTGTGCACTGAAGGCAAGCAAGGGATGGGAGGGGGCATCCTGGGGACCCTCCAGTCTGTGTACCAAGGCTGCTTCCGTCTCCGGATGTCCTTGCATGTATACCCTTCCAGTGTTTTCCATGTCATGACTTTATGGGAAGTGAAGAAGTAGAACAGGACGACTGCAAGCCCCTCAACTGACGTTGCATCGTCAGTAAAGCAAGCTTGCAGGAAGAAGACTACCTTCTAAAGAATGAGGACTACACCCTCGTCTGTGACCCATCTCTTCGATGGGCACAACAGACCTTCATCGCAACGCATTTTCTGTACAAAAAGGTATTAATTTACTTTAAGCCCATTATTATGTAAACTGTTTCAACGACGATCCGATCACCCGATATTTTGTATCTGAAAATCTGGAGGCACCTGGGGTTGAGGTTAAACATACCACTTTCCCATTAAAATGAATGAAAACGATTTTTTTTTCCATTGAAAAGCTTTCCCTACTGGCAGCGTTTTCAGGTGGTAATTAAAGTTGTTAAGTGAGAGACAGGAGTATAGCCTTTTGTTTCCACACAAATGGTAACAACAACCCAGTGTATCTTAGAAGCAGAAATCAGTGTGTTTCTGGAGGGAATTTGACGATTTGTCATAAGAGCCTTTAGAATGTGTAAACCACTGGAACTTGTAATTCCACTTGTGGCAATTTAGCCAAAGGAAATAATCAAAAAAATAAAAATAAAAAAGGGATGTAGGTACAAGGACGCTCGCCACGGCACTGTTTAACTGCGGGAAATTGAATGTCGAACATTAAGAACACAGGATAAGACTTCACTCTGATTGGGGCACCTGGGTGACTCAGTCGGCTAAGAGTCTGCTTTTGGCTCAGGTCATGAACCTGGGGTCCCGGGATGGAGCCCGAAGTCGGGATCCCTGCTCCTCAGGGAGCAGGCCTCTCCCTTTGCCCCTCCCCTCTGCTCATGCTCTCTCTCTCTTTTTTTTCTCTCTCTCTGTCTCAAATAAATAAATAAAATATTAAAAAAAAAAGACTTCACTCTGTTGATGGAAGAAAACATGTGTTGTAGAATGTGTAGCATGGTGCTATTTTTCAAGGCAAATATTTATGTGCATAGAAAAATATGGAAGCAGACACACCAAAATACTAATGGTGGTTATCTCTGGGATGGGATGAAGATTTTTCTTTTTTTTTAATTTGTGTTTTCTAAGTGAATGTGAACTTCTCTTTCTTTTTCTTTTTTAGGGGTGGAGGGGCAGAGAGAGAGAGAGAGAGTGCACGAGCTTTCACGCAGTCTCCACGTCTAGCACAGAGACCCACGGGGGGCGGGGGGGCTGGATCTCATGATTTGAGGTCATGACCTGAGCGGAAATCGAGTCTGATGCTTACCAACTGAGCCATCCAGGTGCCCTGGACATGAATTTGTTTTTCTGAACTTTTTATTATGAGACAATTACAGATTCACATGCATTTGTTAAGAAATAACACAGATCTTTTGCATCCTGTACCTGGTTTCCTCCACAGTGATATCTTGCAGGACTGAGGTACAAGACCATAATGGGATCTTGACATTGACTAGGGTACAGAACCTTCCCATGGCTCCTAGGATGCCTTTCTGTTGCCCCTGTAGAGGTGTCCATTCCCCTTCTAGCCCCTCCTCTTGAGCCCCCCAGGCCATAACTAATCCAGTCTTCATTTCTACAATTTGTCAGCTCTAGAAAGTTATATAAATGGAATCACACAGTATGTAGCCTGGGGGGATTGGCTTTTTCACTCAGCATCATTCCCTGGAGAGGCATCCCCTCCCAGTTTGAGGGGGAGGATGTGGTTTGCATGTTCCATAGTTTGCTGCTTTTTACGGCTGAGTTGTGTTCCCTTGTGGATGCATCTGTGAGTTTAAGTGTTTACCCGCTGCAAGGCATCTGGGTTGTTTCCAGGTATTGGCTCCCATGTACAAAGCTGCTAGGCACATTTGTGTGCAGATTTTCATGTGCACATAAGTTTTCATTTCTCTGGGGGGTGCCATTGCTGGGTCACAGAGTAGTTGCTTATTTTTTAAAAAAATTTACAAAAGATTTTATTTAGGGGCACCTGGGTGGCTCAGCGGTAGAGTGTTTGCCTTCAGCTCAGGGTGTGATTCTGGGGTCCTGGGATCGAGTCTCACGTTGGGCTCCCTGCAGGGAGCCTGCTTCTCTCTCTGCCTTGTGTCTCTGCCTCTCTCTTGTGTCTCTCATTAATAAATAAATAAATAAATAAATAAATATCTTTTTTTTTTTTTAAGATTTTATTTGAGAGAGAGAGAGAGAGTGAGCATGTGCAGGAGGATGGGTAGAGGGAGCGAGAGAATCCAAGCTGACTCCTAGCTGAGTGTGGAGCCTCTCCAACTCCGAGATTATGACCTGAGCTGAAACCAGGAGTCTGCTGTTCAACCAACTGAGCCACCCAGGCGCTCCAGGGTAGTCGCTTATTTAGAGAGAGAAAAAAAAAAAAAGCCCAAACCGTTGAACTATTTTCCAGAGAGGTTATATTCCCACCAGCAATGCACAAGCTGCTTGTAGTCATCATTTCTCTGGGTAACTCCAAACCCATCCTTTCCCTCCTTCTACTGAATGGATTCTGAGAACACGGATGTTAGGGAGGCTATTACGGATTCCCAGGTCCCAGAAGTTTGTTCACTTTGCTCTTTTTCTGCCCATTTTCTCGGTGTGGCTCAGATCGGATCATTTGCCTTGCTTGCACAGTGCTGGTTCTTCCCGGTCCCTACTGCCCTTGAGCCCATGCATTGAGTTTGCAACTATTAAGTTTCATTTGGTAATTTTGTTATAGCTTCTATTTCTTTGCCAAGGCCTAACGTTTCCTTTGGTCAAGCATGTTCCTAATTGTTCTTCGCGCGACATTTTTCTGCTGGCTGCTTTACAGTCTTTTGTCTGATAATTCTAACATTTCTGTCATCTGGGTATTGGGATCGATTGTGTTTTTTCATTCTGTCAAGATCTTTCTGGGGGTCAACATGACTAAGAGATTTTTGGTTGAAACCTGGACATTCTGGGTATTATGTTATGTGAGTGTGGACTTAAGTCCAGAGCCTTGGAACTGTTTGAGCTGGCTTCCTCTGACCTTGCCCCAGGAGCAGAGAGGGCTGCCACGGCTCGGAGTAGAGGTTGGGTCCCCTCCTGGGCCTTCTCTGACACCCCAAGCGGCTCCTCTTTGCTGGTGAGCAGGGAGGATTCTGGGCCTCCACACTGACGCCTCCCTGGCAGGGGCGGAAGGGTACACACTGCTCCTCCCCACGTGGCCCCTACTGACATCACTGGGGGCAGGGAGCCTTGACCCTGCGGGTGGCAGTGGGATTCTAGGCTCCCCGGGCAGCCTCCACAGACATGGGGGCAGTGCTCGGCACCCCACAGGAGCGCGTGCCCACTCCTCACTCAGCCTCTCTGACACCACCCTCCTGGAGCCTTGGACGCCCCCTCCCAGCCCGGTGAGTGTGAACTTTTGGCTCCTTCCTTGGCCTTTGCTTGTGTGGGTCAGGCCCGAGCCTGCTTTTTTATTTCTTTTTTTCTGGGAGCTTTGCCTCATCCAAGAGTTTTCTGCCTTGCGAAGCAGCAGGTCCTTCTTTCCCGGCCCTTTGGCTACATGGCAGGAGTTCGTCGGGGCTGTTTGGTCTCCCTCGGCCGAGCGGCGTTTCTGGATTGCTGGCTTCCTTAGCTCCAAGCCTGGGGTCTGTGCAGCCGGCCAGAAAACTGCAGCAAGTTACCACTGTGTCATTCCTCGGGTGCCGCGGTCTCCAGCCCGCCTGCTTCTCCCCGGCTTTCGGAGTCCTCTTGTGTTTGCTGTTATATAGAATGTTCAGGGTTCCTAGTTGCCTGTATTTATTTTAACAACTTCAGAGTCATTATAGAAACATCCGCAGAAGCCTGGTGCGTTGA